CCTCRTAGTTATTTTTGGGTTTTTTATTGTGAACAAATTAATGTACCAGTCWTTCAAACTGAATCTTGCTTTGTTCTCTGGAGCGAATTTGTTGATCACTTAGTTCTCTTGAGGGGTATGTTTTTGATTATTGAAGAAAGTGTGTATATGTGTATGTGTGTATTTAAATATTTTCATTCCTACATGATGAGACTATTATCCTGCCATACAAGTCTCTTGGCGAACACCTTATTTTTAGAGTTTTTCCTGTGGCTAATTGCCTGAAATGCTTGAGGGTTGCATTACAGTGTCCTGTCCTTGCTGCTTTTGCTAGAAYATTTGTTTAGTTGTGCTTGCTTGGCATGAGTATGTGAATATTTTAAAAGTACAGAAACATTGAGAAAAAACAAAACCAAAGAAGCCCTCAGGTCAGAATATTCCTTCTAGTCTGTGTTCTGAGCAAGCTTGATTAACATTAAATCAGCAGCAGCATTTGTAGCATCCTATCTCCATCACTTGATCCCTGTTCTTGTCTAACCCTCTTGATCTGTCACAGCATGTGTAAAAYCCACACAGATGAATTCTACCAAAGGCTGTTTTCCATTTGTTCTTGCAGCTGGCTTTGTGAATGCKGGGTGTTTTGCAGGGAATTGGTTTGGAGTGGATAGTATCTGAGAAACAAAGAGCTGATACTTTATTATAACTCAGTGCAGCARGTATTTCAGTGTAACCTGTATCTTCACATCAGTTTTCTTAATCTCTACAAGAAAAACTTCTAGTTTTTAGCAATACTGTGGTTTGTTTGTTTTGTTTTATGAGGAATGTTGTGGGGGTTTTTTCCTTGTATAAAATGCCATGGAATTATTAAGCTGAAGAAGGGGAATTGAAGATACAGCTAATTGAGGACAGCTGGGAKTCAGTATTTGAACATTGCATTGTGTTTTCTGGTTTTCAGATGCCTCATTCTGCATGTAGTCAAACTAGACAGTGACTGGGTGCATTGTAGCTCCCTGTGTCTGTTCAGCTGCCAGCTTCTGGTGTAGGAGGCTCTTGGTTCAGCTTCAGGGTCTTCACCCCTTGGCTTGCTTGTTGGTTTTATTCCTTTGTGTTGTACTTGAGGCAAGAAAGTGGTGCCTGTTCAGTCCTTGGCATGTCTGCTGGGCTGCCATAAGACCACCCAGCAGCTCCAGCTGAGCTGAAGAGTCTGTGATGTGTTTGTGTGTTCACTTTGAACACCCCTGAGACCAGCTATGTGATTTGAAGAAATCATCTACAACTGAGGGATTGATGGTCTTTCAAAGGGAAATTAGTCCCTAATTGTAAGAATCACAATACAGGCCTGAAAGAGGGCATCTTGAGTGAGATTTTTCTTCATTATCTAATGTGCTTTATTGGATGGTGTATTCTCAGCATATGTGTAACTTAGCTTTCTTTTGCTCTGTGATGGAGCTTCAGAGCTGCTCCAGCAGTTCACCTATGAACTTGTATAGTGGATGTTTCTCATGCTGTTCAATTCAGTTGCATTCTTTTACCCCAAATCCTCTCTCTCCTAACTTCAACCCATTTTGATATGGGTGTTTAAAGGTAAATACTTCAATTGTTTTAAATGCTTGTGTGTTACTTCTCTTTCTTTTGTATGTTTAAATTTACRTTAGCTATTTCAGTTGCTTTTTAATGTTAAGTATTTAGCTTTCTTCTGGGGCTTGGTGGYTGTGGGTCAGTTTTACAGGCACAGAGTAGCTGCAAAATCTCTTCTTCTTTGATGGCAAACTTTTCCTTTACCTCTTTGAAAACATAGCTACCYTGTTTGTGACTGAACCATGAAGCTTAAATTTAATTTTATTTAGTCTGATTTACTCCCAAGATTGTAATCCCAAAACTATTGAAGGATGTTCTTAATATTCCATCGTCTCTATGTATTACRTACTAGTGCTTTATAGATAGGCTGTAGTAATGTCTGAAATTTGGGAAATTGCATAGTAAGTATTCACTACTCATCTCACCAGTCTGTGCATGAAAGCCAAGAGCAGCAAGCAGACAAAAATGTGTCTTGTGACCCTTACTCCTTACCTAGGCTGCAAGTATATTATATATATACTTATATATATATATACTATATATATGTATCAGAAGTGTTCAACGCTTCTGATGTTCCCTTTTTGTTGWCTTTGTTGGGCTGGGCAAAAAGTTACTGTGATAGAAAACTATCAGCTGGTTTTCTATCTGTGACCTATTGAATCAGTTCTGCTCTTGATTTATCTCTTTGAATAAGGAACTAAAATTTATGTGCCTTGTGGATGGAGCTTTGCATGAGAAATACTTTAAAAGGAAGATAAAACATCTTTTCATACTTTTGCAAAATGCTTCTGTTACATACCATGTGTCTTATCCTCAGTTCAGAGGTGGAATTCGTTAATTTTTAGATAGGTGCTTTTTCTAAGATGTTGATTATATRGTAAAATGGAAGAAGAAAAAGAAGCATGAGCTATGGCCTAAATGCCTTGGATATAGTTTATTTGAAATAACAAGTACTTTTTTAATCAAAGGGCTTTTGTTTCATTTTGCAATGTTCACCTTGGGAGAATGTTTTTGAAGTACATTCATGGTATTCACCTTCAAGTATTACAGAGTTCAAGACAAAGGTGAAGTTTTCTGATATTTCTTGCTGAGTTTGAGCCCTGAAGGACTATATTTCTCTGGCACATGATTCTTAAAGATATCAACTCTGAGAATAAATTTCTAGAAAGAGAAAAAAGAAGAAAAGAATAAACTAAAACCAACAGCAGATTTTTATATGGAACTATACAGAAAACAGTAAGAAAAAAAGTATTTTTAAAAAAAAGAAAAAAAAAAAAGAGAAAAAAGAAGAAAAGAATAAACTAAAACCAACAGCAGATTTTTATATGGAACTATACAGAAAACAGTAAGAAAAAAAGTATTTTTAAAGAGATGATTTAGGTATGTTATGATTAAGTGCAAAGCTTCCTCTGCTTGCCTGTTTGAGAATTCTCAGCACGTTTTGGTTTTAGGGATATCAGAGACAATGTATCAGTGACTTAAGCCAAGGGGCATTTTACTGACAGGCACTTAAATAAAACAAGCAGAAATGCTGTAAGTGCATTCTGCAGTAACAGTTTTACCTTTCTGTGTGGCAAATCCTGTAAAAAACAAAGTGTTATTTACTGTTTTTTAAATGAGGTTTTGTAAAACAGGTTTTGTAACACCCCCCCCATACCTCCTTCACTGGTTAAGATTGAACTCTGCCTATTTCCTCTTAGTTCTTGTCACTTACCTTTTGATAGCAGAAGTGATTCAGGTAATTTTCTTCATCTTCCAGTTCTGTGTGTAGTTGTATTACTTTGTTATGCTCTATTACATTTGGGACTGAAGCCAGTGGGAAAAGTGAGGGGAAAGGTGAGATCGGGCCAGGGATTGCTGTAAAATCAAARCTGTAGACTCATCTCTAAAAAGATAATGCAGCCTAACATGCCATTTTTTTAAAGGTATATACAGGAAAAGCTCGGTACTATCTTTGCACTGTGTCTTACCTCTTGCTGTGAGTTTCGTTCACTTGCATTTGTATTTATTCATTTGTATGTACAGTTTATTTTTAGAGACATGTGTCAAGTGAAAGTAACTCAATGGAAATAAGCTGATAATAGATATAGTCAGTGGTTTTGCCCAGTTGTTCATAAATGTGGATGTTTGAAAACTGTGKTTTTTTCCCCATATTTATGTAATCCTTTCATTTTTCAGGTCTGCTCAGTACTGGGGGAGATGTTTGCTGCTTTGCTGTGTGCATGCACTTTAAAATCCCTCTCCTATCCTATSTTTCCCAGCTGTTGGGACTGGAGGGCGTCTCTAGGCAGAGGGTGAGAAAGTGCTTACTGACATCAGGGCTTAAGTTTTCCTTTGATATGTTGCCTGGAGGCCGGTGGAGGGGGAAAGCTGAAGACCAGATTGGTTTACATGCTGGCTTCCAGTAGGGATTTAGAAGGTGGTTAGGGAGGCGAAGAGACATAACACTGAATATCTGAAACTGAATTAATTAGGGGTTTGGCAACAGAGTTTGGAAGATGGGAGAAGCAAGGCTGCTGTAGTGATGGGTCAGGAAGTGATCTCAGTAAAGCAGGGATGTACTTGCAGATAAGACCAGTCTGGCATTTTGTATGAAGTGTAATGTAGATCAGARCAAAGCAGAAACGTAAGAGATCCATAGCTTGATGATAGGAAACCTTCATCTGCCGCTAAAAACATAAAAAGTGGAGTTARTTTGGTAGAAAGGTGATGGTTAAATGTATTTCTGTAAAACTCTTAGTGCCTTCAATTAAGATCTTCATGAGCTCAGTGTAGTCAGCACTGCACTGCTACGTGAATTCCCAGTTACTTCTCTAAAGAACTTGAAGCACTGCACTGCTACGTGAATTCCCAGTTACTTCTGTAAAGAACTTGAAATACAAAGACAGACACTATAT